GATCGACGTTGATGACTCCGATACGTCTAGCGGCGGAGGAGACGGCGGAGCTGCGGCGGTGGATTTGGAGCTCCGGTTGAGAAGATGTCTAAACGATGCCGTTTTGGGATTTGGAGAAGAAGAAGATAACCTCGACGAGGAAGAAGAAGCTTCTTCTTGAGTCTTGACGAGTCTTTTAAGGCCTAAAAGCTCACGCCATCTCACAGTGCAACGAGGAGCTCTCGGAGAGAAAAGGTAAGGATCAACGCCGCCGGAGATCTCCATCTCTAATCTTCGGTATGGTTTCGCCGCCGTGTTAACCGGCGTTGTTATACGCTTCTTCTCCTCCGGATTCACCGCGCCGGAAAACTTGAGCGGGACTAGCTTTCCGTCGGAGAAAAGCTCGTCGGCGCTTAACATTGTGACGGGATCTTCGAGAAGAAACTCGAAATCCACAGGATCTTCGTTTTCCAACTGCGGTTGAGATTCTCGGCTCTTCGCTGACGTTTTGGAGCTCTTCCAAGTGTAACTCGCCATCGATAACTTCTCCGGCGAAGTACCAACATTTTTAACGCAACTCGACGCCATTAACCGTCGATATCGAGAGAGAGAGAGAGGTCCTTTAAGGGTTTTGTATAGAGAAGTGGCAATGACAGAGACAAGCAAATATATACAGCTCAGCTCAGATTCTCACTTACACAGCACACACGTGTTCTCTTTTGCTTGATCCACTCTTTCGGGTTTAATATCGGGTCGGCTTCAAAAAGACCCAAATAGATTAATCACTCACAAAGATATTGACCATTTTTGTTTTATAATATGACGTTTTTGAGATGGAAAATATTTGGGAATAGTAGATTTGCATGTAGAATTTTTCCTCGTACGAAAATATATTTTGATTCGGTCCAATCTCTGTATATGGTCACTAGCTGGTACCAAAAAACAAAGTTTGATAATTAGTTACTCCGTTAGAATCTGTTTACATTTGCTAAGAGATATTTGTATTTAAAGAAATTCACACATTTGTATGTTTTGCATTTGTCATATGACGCCAAATTTCGAAGATTCATTGAACTAATGATCCTTCAATGCTTTTCTTCCAAGTCTTTGGTTTGTGATTCAACTTCCCCCTCCTCTTGCAATTCACCATAAGCTAATTGCTCAAGACCCTCTTCCACATTCACCAAACCATCAACAAACATGAGATGTTTCATCTCTCTCCTGCTTGCTTTCACTTAACAGAATTATGTCTTCATGACTCAAAGCACAACGTTCAACAACCACTATTTTAACCGGATTGCTCAACGTTTGTCTGCCCAATCTTCGATTTGGCGAAAAAGGATCGCAGAAAATACCACCATTTTGATGATCTAGTCTAATACTTTGAAAGGTTTCGCGCACATGTACAAATCCTTGTCCAACCAAATATATGCACCCTTTACCAGTCCGGAAATTTTAGAAGCCTAATGCAAACGAATAAAATGTGGCATCGCATTATTAAAGGTGTTTACATAGTAGAAACATGTTATTTGATTTAAAATTTCAATATGCCTTCCAAACAAAAACAGAGTCCCAAAAAAATCTGATATGGTCTTTTTGACCAGCGTTTGAATTTATTGGGACCCATCGTCCTCTTGCTAATTGTTTGGATTTTGGCTGCCACATTCGACCAAATTTAGAAACGTCTATACGATATAATTACAGTGTCAATCACTGATTAGTACATTGTACTCACGAAGCGACGTATGTTCTCACGAGTCGCATTCAATAAAAATGATGTTAAAAAATGTAAATAGTTAGCTACGTTACTTGTTAGTGTTACACACACAACAAAACTAGCTTGGTGTTTATCACCTCGACGAGTTACAAAATAGCATGATCAATTTATGGATTTTTCACACTTAAAGAGTATACATAATTACACTTTAAAACATATTATAATGCTTACGGATTCTATTTGTACCCAGAGAAAACATAGAAACAATCAAATTTAAAGTATCATATGGTGTTTTTGTTTGGTTTTTTTTTTCTGAACTTTAGTATCATATGGTGTTGAACAAGAACTTAAATAATTTACCAAAATAATAAGCATAAAGATTAAAAAAAAGGAACAAAGGTGGGGAAACGAAGAAGAGAACGTGATAGTTCTCAGTCTTGCGCCCTCTGATAGATTCTCTATCTCTTATTTGATTCTCATGATGCTTTTTTATTCATATGTCTCTTTGCTCTTTTCCATATATTTCTACATCTACATTTATTATTTATATGCATTATATACTCTGATAAAGAGTCACGACAAGTGGCCTAAGTAGAAAAGGCCGACAAGAATGAAGGAATTAGTTAGAAAATAGATCATACCGAGTTTAGTACGTCCAATGAACATAAACATGATATAGTTTTCATATAAGAAAAGACAAATGTCATTAATCCATAAATAATCCAGTATTTATAAACCCTATAAATTTAAACCTAACGGATTGATTAACGGATTGTAAATCTATTTGATGGAAATAAACGTTATTCATGAATTGATAATAATGGTCGGATACAATAGCACTATAAGATCTTATTACAATGCACGTCCTTATCCAAATCTGGGAACAATTGTTATGCTGTATAGATGGTGTGAGAGTGACAAAGACACAACTAGGATGCTATATGTATATCAAATGCATAAAAATAGTAATAATTCACTGCATTAAATCAGGTTGGTGGTAGTCACTCTCGTTTTGATCG